ACCATGCAACGTGCACAAACTTATTAAAAAATACGGCTACTATCTACTCTTTTTTATATATGAGCTAACTATACTATTGTTATATATATTACAGTTTATATCGTTGATAGCAAGCAATAACTATGTGATAAAAACACAGTAGCGAACAATTTGAAGACATTTTCAATTCGGTCACTTTAAAATCATCTATACGATGGAAGCAAAGACAAAAGTCTGCCTTAGCAACAGGGAACAGGAAGCGTTGGACCGTTAAACCGTTTTTGGAGGGCAATTAGTGGGGGTGGATTCAAGTTTCATATACATGTGATACATCTTATCAGTAACAAAGTGGTTTAAAATGCGCGCCAATTTTTCGACAGTCAGCTGAGGCGGGCTACGGTTAAATTTCGCGCTCGCGCAATGCGAGGTTCGGGGAGAATTTTAGTGTCGTCTTGTGGAGACGAAGGTTACCATGCACTCAACCAATCACTTGTGGATCAATCAATAAGCCAACAACTGATTACTGATTGTGTATGTTTAATTTCATCTGAAAGTTTCAGGTCGGGTTTTTAGTGCGAAAAGTTCCTTATGGGCGACAAATAATTGTAATCTTAGTGATTTCCAAAAAAAAGAGGTACTAAAAATGGCTTATTTGCTGATAAGCCCCTTGTTTGCTTTACTGTAATGCACTGAAAACGCAGTTTCCTTGATAAAATTTTCAACGACTCGCGGGCATTTTTAAATTTTATTTAATTTATTCAAATACCTAGTTCCACGTTTTAGCAGCTAGTAATAGCGAATGTTTCATACTACCCCTTGAGAATGCTTGCTGAAGGTACAGGCAAAACATTGGGTAGAAAAACGCCATTTGTTCTGTTGTTTTTCGTGCTGATTAATCCGGTGCATTACAACGAGTTCCACTCCTCCTTCAAAGCGCTTATTGCGATTATTTACTTATATTTAATGATTGAGTTGCATCAAGCACCACTAAGTATATAATCTTCATTTTGTGGAATTTACTTGATGCAAACGAAAAGCTGTTATCAAAGAAGGAATTTATTGGAAAATTCCAGGGGGTTCCCTGAACTAGCTCTTATCAGGATTAAAATTTTACTCAATTTTGCAAAATTTGACAACGCCGCACAGCCATGGGTATTTATATTTGAGAATCCTTATCAGCTTTTCAAGAGCGCCAAGCAACTCGTCAAAACTCAAGTAATTGGCTCCTGTTTGAATTCGATATTTCGCAGCCAAAGCAGTGAAAATCGTATTCAATTGCAGCATTGAACCAGAAAATCATTATAGAGAGCAATTAAACATGTCTGAAGGCAAAGTGTCTATGTGCGAAAAGAAAAATGACTGCGAAGAAGAACAATCAGTGGCAGATCCAGACACCAGGTACTGGTAATTTGGGCTTGTGCATTAATTGACAATTTCTCAATTGCTTTCGTCTTAATATTTAGTTTTGCTTATTGCTTTCTCTTCACTTCTTTAGTGATTTGTTTAATTTTTCCAGATATCCGGATGGGACGGTCAAACTGCGAAATCCACACATCGAGCTTATGGATCAGGATATTCTCTATCACATCGCTTTAGGGAGCGAATCTCACGATTTGGTCGAAATGTTTGGTGACGTCAAGGTAAAAACTACAAGCACGAGAAATATCCCAAATTTCGTCGATAAGCATTTTTTGCCGTTTATCAGCCTTAAGACTTTCAGATTAGTCGCGCTAATTAATAATAATATTGACATACTATATTGAAATTATCATAGAAATGCACTTCAAAAATTCGCCTTTTTTTTCGCCGAAAGTTTGATTGGGCTTGTATTTTTCAATGTTATTTCCTGAAGATCCGCTCATGCTTGCGAAACGCCAGGAGAAATTCTTGTCCTTGACGGCCGAAAAGTCCAAAAAACTCCTAATCTCAAAAGTGCAATAAAATGAATCTTCAGCTTCAAGCTAGTGATTGTTTTCACTTTTACAGTTTGTGTGTATGGGAGGAACCCCGAATCGTATGAAAAACTTCGCTCACTTCATCATGGAAGAAATTGGGTACAAACTACCGACTGGCACCGACTTGATGGACATCAGCCAGTACTCTTACAGATACAGCATGTACAAAGTGGGCCCGGTCATTGCAGTTAGTGTAAGTTATTTGCCTTTAACTATCGCTTCCTCACTTTCAATCTCATTAATACCAAATTAAAAATTGGTTTTTAACTGTTATTCTAGCATGGAATGGGAGTACCGTCAATCGGCATCCTGCTGCACGAAATGATCAAGCTGATGTACCATGCAAAAGCTCAGGATCCGGTTTTCATCCGAATAGGAACCTGTGGAGGTTTGGGACTGGAGCCTGGAACGGTTGTAATTTCGGACCAAGCGGTAGATGGCTTAGGAAACTATTCTTATTCAGTGGTAAGTCAATGTGGGAAGCGATGGCGTTTGGAAACGGTGGTTGGATGTTTGATGGTTTTTAGCCAATACTAGGAGAAGTCGTGAAGCGGCCTGCAAAGTTAGATAAGAAGATAGTTCGAGAACTGAAGGCGTTGAGTAGTGTTGATGATCCGTATGAAACAGTGGTAGGAACGACTATGTGTGCAGAGGATTTTTATGAAGGTGATTATGGAGTTAAAGTGAAAATTTTGTTTCTGATTCGTGGATAAGAATTTCTTCCTGATGTGTCCCAAGCGCGAGTCATTTGCATTTTCCGAGGTGGTTCGATCGGCGCAGCCTCGAAGCCCAAATTCGCCAGTTTCTAGATTTTTAATGTTTATTGATCGCATGTTTGAATAATACTTTCGCTAGAGAACTTGTTTCAGTACAAAGTCAAATTATTGAAAATGTTTTCATTCTGGGAACATTTTCTTGCGTCGAGCTCTCCAGAAAAATGATCCCTTTTGCGTTGTAGTAAAATTTATGAAACGTTTTTGTTAAACTCACTAGGAATACATTTTTTGAAAGTTTGACACTCATTTATATTTGCTCGGTATATTTCTCGAACAAATATTGCGAGTTTATTTATACTCTACTGACAAAAGACTTTGCTTTTTTAGGTCAAGGAAGAATAGATGGGGCCTTTTGCGACTACACGGAAGTGGACAAACAGAACTATTTGGAAAAATTGGTAAAACAAGGTGTGAAAAACATAGAAATGGAAGCCACACCTTTTGCAGCGCTCACACATCATGCAGGCATTAAAGCGGCCATCGTTTGCGTTACGTTGCTGAACAGACTCAAAGGCGATCAGGTAAGAATAACAAAAAAACCAAGCCACAACCAAATAAATAAAGAAACAAAAAAATTATATAGGAGGATCCATTTAAACAATCTAAAATGAAGTGTTTAATCAATTTAAGATCAATCTAATGAAAATGTGAAGCAAGCAAATTAATTAAATTAAATCTATTGAAAATTGACTGCTATAAATTGAAATGTTCTTTAATATGCTTCCAAATATATCGATTTTTTGTGTTTTTTAGTCCGATTTAATTAAAAATCAGCAAATCATCTTGTCAATTGTTTGATGTGAAACATAAGCGAATTCATATGTTTAAATT